GCTAAAGAACAATGGGGTATTTATCCTGTGCTTAGGGACTTGGGCATAAGGAAAGAGGGCAGTGAGGCGAAGAGACTTTCCATGACAGATGAGGGGCAGGTGACCGCACCCTTACTCTGAGAGCAAAGACAAGGTTCTCAGAGAGGATGTGGTCGCTGACAAACCTACAATTAGAGGAGACATCCCCCACCCCCAACTACTGTGTTCAAGGGTATGTAAGGGGTGGCAGTGATTCTTCTCAGGTTAAGAGAAATGTAGAAACTCAAGGAGTGACACTTTTTTCTTGGGTTAGGGGAGAAGGACTCAGGCAAGGAGAAAAATTTCTGCTCAGCCTCCCTTTCTGGGGAGACTTGACACCACCCACTGACTAGGTACATTTATATGGCTGAAACAAATTTCACTAATCAGTAACTGTCATTCTAATATTTGACACATTCATATCTCTCGTCTCTTTATTTCATTAAAAAGTACATGTGTGACCCACTCTGTTGGTGTCTAGACTCATGATGGATCATATAGACGGTCTTTTGAAATGCCACCCTAGAGTAAGATTTAGGAATGTTCTATCATCCCAAGCAATGGTCCTGAGGATTGTAACTCTGTCTAGAAGGTCAGAGAGTGTGTTATGTGCAAGAGACTCAGACATCTTTGTAAGCCCCAACATGGTTGTGTGTGACCTCAACCAAGGCCTCTATCTGCTCATGCCTCAGTTTCCCGATCTGGAAAGAGGATGTATTTAGAAATACCCCAGGTACCTAACAGGTAACTGCCTAACAAAGTAGTTATGAGCAATAAAATCCAAATCAGGTGATGTCTATGAAAACACTTTGTAAACCATGAAGTAATCTCTTGAGGTAATTGCTGTTTTAAACAACTCCATGCTATCTTCTCTGCTACAGAGGAATCTGAGAGGATGGTGCTATTTCACGAAAATTAGTTTGAGCTCTTCAACACTTGCTACCTAAAACAAAGACAACCCTGACTTCTTTAATTGAAATGATTATCAGCTTCTAAAAATGAGTCCCAGCTCCCCTGAGATCATTCAGTATTAAAACTTGATTTCAAAGAAGGGAAAACTGCAGGGTGTTTGGGTTATCTTCAGAGACATTTAGTTCCTGTCTTCTCTTCGCTTCTCTGCTCTAACCAGTTCAGTGAGTCCTTCAGGGCAATCTTGAGATTGCTCAATCTCAATCTTGAGATTACTTGCCTTTAAGAATCAGGGTTGGCAGAATTCGGACTCTAGCACATCATCTCTAACTCTTACTACCTGTAAGTGGAGCATCCCCATGAAAATTTTTACAAGCCCAAATCATGTGAGGCAGCAACTGCCACTCTTCCACAAAAAAGTGGGAGAATTTTTGAGTATTGCCAGACCTCAAAATGAACCTGCCAAATTATACCAAATAATGCATAAAACCCAAACTAGTGCTTTCATACAGTAAAATGATGTTATACACTTGCAACCTGTAGCTCCCAGGGAAGGAGCTTGGAGGGGCCACTTGCTGCTCGAGGCACACGTGGCCTCTGTGGCGGTGCTGCAGAACAGATGCTGAGCAGTGGATTTGCTGGTTGCCTTTTGCCCTAAGAGCAAAATCCTCTTCAGATGTATTATGGTCATCAACATCAGGGAGGGCTTTTGAAAAGCAAAATGACATAGGGCCCTCCCTGGTGGCACAATGGGTTAGGACACAGCACTGCAAGTTGGCCGCAGCCTCAGTGCGAGTTTGAGCCCCGGAGGTGACCACATGGCGGGGCAGACCTCTCCTGACCAGCCCGCTGCTCCCCTCAGCAGTGTACTTCATCGATCTGCCTGTTCTGCTCCCCACTCTGTCTCTGGTGAATCCTCTCACTGCCCCTGGACCACCTCTGGCCTGTACCCCAGTTCTGTATGCATAAATAAATAAATCTTAAAAAAAAAGCCAAATAACATAATTGGAACTTTTGAAAACTGGGGGATACCTGTCTGAAGAATGAGGGTGGGGCTAAATGATACCTCCAATACTTTGCTTTAACATCAGCTGAATGATGGCACAAGGCAGAAGTCGTGCCTAGGATCTGGGGTTGGGGTGAATGCTTCCTCGATTGGGCTCACCGCTCTGAGGACTGATGTCCTGGAATGGAGCACACCCTAGAAGCCCAACTTTGCAGAACAGAGCAGTCACAGGCAGCTGTGGTGTCCGGGGCCTCCCAGTCCTCCCCTCCCCTAGGTCTGGAGTTGGATGGGAGGGCTGTGGTTGGGTCACTTCTATGGCAGTACCCGTGGGGTCGCTGGTGGGCAAAGTGGAGTCCACCTACTTGCGCATTCCACATTGTCCTCTATTTCTCAGGCCATTTGTTTTCTAATCAGTTCCTTTGGTGGCGCTTACAATGGGAGGCCTGTTATTCCTATCACACGGTATTGTTTTTCCTGGGTCTCCCCCTCAGCAAGCCCAGTAATTTCACCATCTCCAGATGAGAGAGAGAAATGTTTGAGATGCAGAACGGTGTCTCATTTCAGTGCCTAATAGAAGATGGAGAACGAGCCCGGCACCTTTCTGCTCAGTAAATTCATAATTACAGGCTTCCTCGTCTCGCCTCTTGCAAATTCGAGAATTGTTGATGGCTTGTGAGTCTGTGCGTGCAGATAGTAGGTTGGGGGTGTAGTGGGCACAGTTCCCCAGTACTTGGTGGGTTCCAGTGCAGGGACTGGTGACGTTCTCTCTTGAGGACTGGCAGCTGAATCCTGACCTGTACCTGCCTGTCTGGCGTGAGGATTCCCGGTCTTGCTAGCATTTGGTTCTTGGGAGCAATGTTCTGGAGTGGTTTGCTGAAAAAGCACATGGCACCCAAAGAACTGTGTCCTGTTGGCAAAGACCAGGCAGCAGGTGGTAAAGTACAACAGAGAAAGTCAGAAGACCAATTGTGGGTGGATAGAGCACTGGTCTGGGAGAGACCTGAGCTCAATCCCATCCCCACTTTGAACGCATGGCTTGATCTACCACTCATCCAACTTCTCTGTATCTCAACTTCCTTGTTTTTAAAATGAGGGGTGGAGGAATTATTAAGCCACTATCTTTTAGATCAAAAACTTCTAGATTCTTCTCTGATAATTGAATTTGCCTGAGAAATCACAAGTTTCTGATCACTCCAACTGAGATGCTACCAGTCCTGTTCATGTTACTTCAGTCTTGCACACAACGATGATCAGTGGAACCATTGATGGCTGACCCCTGCCAGACTGTCCTGTGATTGTCACAGGCTCTGCTTTCCTGCTGTGGAGTTAACGGGGAGGCATGGATGGGCCATGTCTTGGGATTTTAGTGTTTGGGGACGTATATGCATTTGGAAGGTCTTCTAAGTACCCTATATTCTGGGCCTTTTTATTTTTATTTATTTTTATATTTTTTTTAAGATTTATTTATTTATGCAAACAGAACTAGGGTATAAGCCAGATGTGAGAGGTTTCACCTAAGATAGAGTGGGGAGCAGAACAGGCAGATCATCACAGTACATTGCTGAAGGGAGCAGCGGGCGGGTCAGGAGAGGTCTGCCTCACCATGTGGATCACCTCCGGGGCGGGTGGGGATCAAATTCATGCTGAAGTGACTTTAGCTTCTTAGTGCTGTGCTTTAACCCGCTGTGCCACCAGGGAGGGCTCCGAATTGTGCCTTTTTAAGAAAGAAGACCATTAAACCTAACTCTTATTAGCCATATCCCCTCACCTGAAAAGCAGGTAGAAAGTCCTGACGCTGGTGAGCAGCTGTGATTTGGCAAGGTTGTCTATGTGTAAGCATTTCCACAGACCCTGAGACACCAGAGAACAGTCCATGGGTGATGAGCTCCCTTGCTTCAGCCCTTCCTCTCCACCAGTCAGAGAGTAGTGTTTGGGTTTCCAGTATCTTCCAGGTCCTGTCCTTCTAAATCTGCAACTGTTCTCCAAGTTTACGTTTCAGCCCTCCCACAGCCTTGTCCCTTTGCCCTCAACCCAAGGTAGAAATCAGATATGAGGAGAAGTTTTCATGGGGACTTCTGAAACACTCTATCGTCCATCGCGTACCTTTTTTCCTTTTTTACCATCTGAGTAATTTAGATGCCAGTGGGGAGTAAATGCCAGCTCTAAGTCCAGGTTGTTTGAGGATCTGTGCCAGCCAAGCTGCCCTCAGGCCTCTGACTTCCAGGGCTGCTGTAGGTTATGGGGTGCACTGTCTGCTGGTATCCTCCTCCGGTGTTTGCTTGAGAAGGCCTGTGTTTCCATTGGGAATTTAACTGACTGTTAAGTCTTTGTTTACTTCTTTCTTCTCTTGATTTTCATCTAACTTCATGTTCTCTGCCCACTGGGGCATTTTCCATTGCTCAGTGGTCTATTTTTCCCATTTTTGAGGCATTTGGGGTGGGGGTAAAACAGACAAGTTCCACAGAGCTGAGATGTCCCCCAAATAAGACGTTGTCCACCTCTGCCCAGCTCTCTCCCAAATTGGGAGGAAAACAAAGCCGCCCCTCTGAAAACACGCAGAGGGCATCTTCAATAGGAGTGAATGAAGCTATTAGGATGGAAAGCTACATAGTTCCACGGGGAGCTATTTATTTACTTTCTTGACCACTACTTAAAGCAATTGTTCTCTCCCTTTAAGGAAGGAGAGGGGGTGCAGGCGGAGCCCCGCTGTTAAAATGGCATCAAGGGCTCACAGGCAGGCAGTGCCCCCAGAGGGCCTGGATGCTGGCGTGGTGTGAACGGATGTGGGTTTTTGTTTCACCCCGTCCTCCTTATCGTCACTGTCGTGATTATTCCCATCACCACTCTGACAGCTGGGACTATTGTTGGGGTGCCCTCCTGGGCCTTCACCACCCAGCTGGGTTCCACGGTGGGAGTCACATCTTAGACTTCCACCTCCTGCCTGGGAAGTTCTTTATTTCAGCACATACACAATGCTTTGGGGGTGGGGGACAGCCGGACAAGTTGGGGGGAAGGGGACAAATCCACTGCCATTGTTGCCCAGACTCACCTCTTTATTTTCCCACAGGGAGCCTCTTCTCCCAGGCCCTGGCCCTCCGGGGAGGCCGCTGTGCCCAGTGCCACCGAGCCGCGAGGACCGCGCCCTGAGATGAAAGCCATGCCTTGGAACTGGACTTGCCTGCTGTCCCATCTCCTGATGGTGGGGATGGGCTCCTCCACTCTGCTGCCCCGGCAGCCACCCCCGCCACCCCAAAAGCGTTCTTTTGTCACATTCCGCGGGGACCCAGCGGAGGGCTTCAACCACCTGGTGGTGGACGAGAGGACAGGGCACATCTATTTGGGGGCCGTCAACCGGATCTACAAGCTCTCCAGTGACCTGAAGGTCTTGGTGACCCACCAGACGGGGCCGGACGAGGACAACCCCAAGTGCTACCCACCCCGCATCGTCCAGACGTGCAACGAGCCACTGACCACCACCAACAACGTCAACAAAATGCTCCTGATTGACTACAAGGAGAACAGGCTGATCGCCTGCGGAAGCCTGTATCAAGGCATCTGTAAGCTCCTGAGGCTGGAAGACCTGTTCAAGCTGGGGGAGCCTTTTCACAAGAAGGAACACTACCTCTCTGGTGTCAACGAGAGTGGCTCCGTTTTTGGCGTGATCGTATCCTACAGCAACCTGGACGACAAGCTCTTCATCGCCACGGCCGTGGACGGGAAGCCGGAGTATTTCCCAACCATCTCCAGCAGGAAGCTGACTAAGAACTCCGAGGCGGATGGCATGTTCGCGTACGTTTTTCACGATGAATTTGTGGCTTCCATGATTAAAATCCCTTCGGACACCTTTACGGTCATCCCTGACTTCGATATCTACTACGTGTATGGCTTCAGTAGTGGCAACTTTGTCTACTTTTTGACGCTTCAGCCCGAGATGGTGTCCCCGCCGGGCTCCACCACCAAGGAGCAGGTTTATACCTCCAAGCTGGTGAGGCTTTGCAAGGAAGACACTGCCTTCAACTCCTACGTGGAGGTGCCCATTGGCTGTGAGCGCGGGGGGGTGGAGTATCGCTTGCTGCAGGCTGCCTACCTGTCCAAAGCTGGGGCTCTGCTCGCCCGGACTCTGGGGGTCCGCCCGGAAGATGATCTCCTCTTCACTGTCTTCTCCAAAGGCCAGAAGCGGAAAATGAAATCTTTGGATGAGTCGGCCCTGTGCATCTTCATCTTGAAGCAGATCAATGACCGCATTAAGGAGCGGCTACAGTCCTGCTACAAGGGTGAGGGCACGCTGGACTTGGCCTGGCTCAAGGTGAAGGACATACCCTGCAGCAGCGCGGTGAGTCGGGGGTGGGTCTGCCTACTGGGATGGCGTGGAGGGAGGGGCCTAGCCTGCAGCGTCTGGGGGTGTGAATCTCACTTCTCATTTTGTAGATGGGACAAGTAGATCCTGTTCCTGGTTCTTGTTGGATTCAGGTCATCACCAGATCAAACAAACTTGGACTGTGACACTGAGCTTGGGTTGAGTCGGAGCTGGAGTTTCAGTGGAGGTTTTGCATGGGGACCTTTGCTCTGTCCTGCATTGGCTCACTGGTTATCAGAGGGAGCGCTAGGAGCAGGCGGGGGTCACACACCAGGAGGACCCCAATGTGCTTGCTGAGACCAGCAGGTGACAATCGTTTGGACGTTTGCTTGGTGGCCCGCGCTGGTCCACTTGGGAGAGTCTAAGAGTCAGATCTGTGAACTCAGGGAGGCCATGGACTGCTTCCAGATGAAGACGACGAATGACAGTCCAGAGCAGTGCTGTGTGTGTGTACATTACACATCCAGGTTCCTGGGTTCCTGGGGACATGCTTTGTTCATGTCGGTGGGGGAAAGGACCTTAGAGACCCCCAGTCCCTGGACCCCTGGTCTTGACCTTCATTTTAAGGCCCAACAAGGTGAATCAGTTGCCAAGTTCATATATTCTTGTGGGGAAAGGGCAGAGACAGCTCTTTAGGAGAATTCCTCATGCCTCTAATTGCTGCACTTGCCTGCATGTGCACACACACACACACCCCCCTCCAATGTTCACATGCACATAGGTAATAATCTCCCCATGGGGATGCACTCATACATCCTATGTTACTATGGCGCATCTATGCTGTGTGTTTTCTAAGCAGTGAGTTCTTCTGCCATCTGAGGGTCTGGCTTTCTTTTTTAAATATTTATGTATGCCTACAAGAACTGGGGTACACGCCAGAGGTGCGGGGGTAGGGTGAGGTGAGAAGATTCATCAGAGACAAAGTGGGGAGCACAACAGGCAGATCCACTGAAATGCACTGCTGAGGGGAGCACTGGGGAGACAGGAGAGGTCTGCCACACCATGTGGGTCACCTCCAGGGCCGGGGATCAAACTCGTGCTGCAGTGGCTGCAGACAGCTTTTTAGTGCTGTGTTTTAACCTGTTGCGCTACCAGGGAGGGCCGCTATTCAATGGCCTAAGCAGCGAGTTCTTTTGCCATCCGAGGGCCTGGCTTTCTTTTATAGAAAAGTTATCCAACCCTGTCTTTTTGGGTGATGCTTTGGGGAGTGACATCAGCCGCAGGGATTAGCCTTGTTCACGGGCAGGTGTCGGTCCCGCCCTTGCTTCCTGCCACAATACAAAAAGCAAAATCCATCCTGGGAGTCTGTGGAGCTGCAGGTCCTAACACCACATGGTGGCCTTGGAGAGAACAGAGCGGGAGCAGCTTTGCAAGACAGGCCAGTGCCAGGCCCGGGAGGAGTGGAGCCAGATAACAAGCTTTTGATTTTTCTTTTGGCCTTAATTAGCCCTTTCAAGTTAGAGGCAAGTTCAGGGTTGAGAACAGAAAAGAGGAGGCCAGAAACTCCACACAGGACTGGGCTGTCTCTCCAGACAGGCTCAAAAGGCCACGCTGGATTTTAATGCATGGTATCAGTTTCCTTTGATTGGGCCAGCACTCGAGTGACTGCTCCCGCGCTCATCTACTTTTCATCTGGCCTCAGCTCAGACCACACATTTTTCACACGCCAGCAGCCAGGCCCACTGAGGAGCTTTGCAAACCCTCCTTTTCTTCCACCCATGGATGTGGCTGTTGAGTGCATCCTTCCTGCAACCTGCCTGCCTCCAGACAAGGCTGGGTGAGATGCACTTCAGAGCTCTTTTTTGCTTTGGGTTTGGAGTCCAGGTTAACCTCGAGGTCTGTGAAGCAGAGCCAAATCTGAGATGGTTTCTGTCCTTTGGCTTTTCACCTGTAACAAAATGGCAGAGGGAAGGGGAAGGCCCAGACGTTGACTTTTAGGGCTTGTGTTTGAGGGGTGGTAGGCGGGACCCCTGTAGGTTTTATCATAATTACAATGCAAGAGCTTTAAAGTGGGGCACTTTTTTTTTTTTAAGATTTATTTATTTATTCATATAGAACTGGGGTACAGGCCAGAGATGCGGAGGGTGAGAGGATTCACCAGAGACAGAGTGGGGAGCAGAACAGGCAGATCGATGAGGTGCACTGCTGAGGGGAGCAGCGGGCGGGTCAGGAGAGGTCTGCCACGCCATGTGGATCTCCTCCGGGGCAGGCGGGAATCGAACTCCTGCGGAAGTGGCTTTAGCTTCTTAGTGCAGTGCTTTAGCCCGCTGCGCCACCAGGGAGGGCCCAGAGTGGGGCACTTTTAATGGTTCATTCGAAATTGAGATGTCATTGACATATCCCATTATGTGGGTTTCAGTGTACAATGCAATGATGTGATATTTGGATACCTGCCTAAATGATGGCCACAGTAAACCTAGTTAACAATCCTTACACATAATTCCACATTTTTTTTCTTACGCTGAGAAGTTTTGATTATGCTCCTCTGAATTCCCTAAGCGGGAATGCCCCTCCCACCAGGCTTTCCCAGCTCTCTACATTTCCAAGCAGTGAGACACAGCTCCCAGCTACCACTTGGGGAAGATGGGGTGGGAGGGAACAGAGCCCCTGTGTCTCTTGTCCTGCTATACCATAGGGCACGTGAGGGGCCCCCCGGTGGGCCACAGCCTGGTGCCCAGATGGGAGAGTCCCGGACTGAGAGGCTGCAGTGCTGGTCTGCAGGTGCCCAGAGAGTTCCCCGCTGCTTTCACTCTGGGGGAATCAGGAGAGGTGCTCAGTCAACAGCAGCGATGAGGGCTGGCCAGCCAGGAGCGGTGTCCCTGCCAGTGTGAACGCTGCTGCAGTTGCAAACCCTAGGGAAGCAATCCAGGTGTTTCCTGAAGCTTGTGGGGAATAAGAGCAACTTCTATCTTTGCCTTCTGGACTATTCTTTTCCTGTGTCCTGACTTTATCCAGCTTTGAGTTTCCGGAGACCAATCGGCTAATATCTGAAAATTGCTCTAAGGATCTCAGGAGAGCACAGGAGTAAGGGAGAGACTTCGAGATATCAGCCAGGGTCCCTGTTTGTCATAAGATTCAGGGACAAAAGTCCCACCCAGGACCCTTTTGCTAAATGAATGTCCAGGCAGGTTAATGGTGGTGATGTGATTTTTTCCGTTTCTGCTGCTCAGCTCTGGGGTGGCCTCCAGCTCTGGTCTCAAAACCCTCTGCAGCACACACAGGGATTGGGATGAGGAGCCCACAGCCTGTGCCTACTGTCATGAGCCTGGGTCCTGAGCAGATGACACTTCCACTTCTTTCCTGAGACCTCTGCCCTGGAGTGGACAGCAGGGTAGAGAGCCTACTATCGTGGACCAAAGCCCTTAACATAGACTCTGACATAGACTGCAGCGCCCCAACTCCTGAGCCCCCCAGGCATGGCTGTCTGTATTACTTCAGATGTAGGGGTAGCCACACAGAACACCGACCCCCTGTCTCCAAGTGCATCCATGAGTTAATGAATGGCTGATGCATCTATGACACCCTTGGCAATGCACTCACTCTTGGTGGATGCCATTGGCCTCCAGGAACCCAAGAGTCCAGGCAGAGGTGCCCATGCTCTCCCGTCTCCCCCCAGAGAATGCTGGCTGTGCAATGGATGTGGTCATGGTAGTGGCCCATCCTCATCCGCTGAAGTCTTCCCTGTGTTAGCAACCAGCTGACGAGTGGACACAGGCCTCAGGCTGGGCTGGAGTGGCCAAAATCAGCTTCTTCATCTTCCCCTCAAGACTTGAGTAAACTTCCAGTAGAAAGTGGGAGTCCTCGGAGCACAGTTCTCATCCAGAACCACTGCCTCAAACCCATCCGGCCCCTTTCTGGGAGCAGAGAGTGGGGCCTCCAGATGCCTGGTGATCCCCGTAGGGGGCTGTGGTACCTGACAGCCCACAGGGGAGTTTGCCTCCTCTTCTTCTCTTGACATCACTCAGGATAATGGAGCAGACCTCCTTCCCAGCTGAGGAAACGAGAAGTCAAGTGCTTTGCTCCAGATTTTGTAATTAGCAGATGAACTATGGGACTCTAATGCTCAGCCCTGCACTTTCTCCACCGGTGTTCCCCATGTGCTTCATGTTATGGGAGGGCGTGGCAGGCTGTCACGACTGACCTGGGGCACTGAGTGGGAGAAGCCCAGTGCTAGACGTCACCCCATTTGTCCCCTGGGTTTATCCCCAGCCTGCCCAGACCCACCAGGTACAGAGACAGGGCAGGACGAGCTCCTTCCTGTCCCCCAGGCTTCACCTGATGGTGAGGGGCGGTGGAGGAGAACCTCGTGGCTGTGGCTGCTGCTTGGCTCCCGCAACTGCTGTGTCTCAGGCGCCGCTGCCCGGGGAGGAGACAAGGTCACCCCCTGGACTCAGCTGGCCTCCCATCCTGGCTGCAGGGCAGGTCACGCAGGTTCGTCTGGCGCCTGGGATCCTGAAACGCCACAAGAACCGGCATCCGGATTGGCCCGGCAGCCATCCCAGCCCGGGGACTGGCTTCTGCCAGGCTGCTTGGGTGTTTCCTTTCCTTGTCAGCAGGAAGTGCGGCTCTCACTGGATGGGGTGTTTCCTGTTGTTTGTGGTGCTAGGCGGGCTTGGCTTTCTGCTCGGCCACAGTCCTCTCTGACCGGGACTTCCTCCTCTGGCCTGCCTCATCCCTCCTTTCTCCACTGCATTTGACTTGCATATGTATCTACATGTGCCAGTGTGCACGCGCACACACAGGCCACTAGACCTGGAAGAGCACACCTCCCAGGTGCCCTTCACATGGGCCAAGGGCTCGACCCCCACGGCCTACTGGCCCCATACTCAAACTTAGCGTCCTAGACCATCCTAGCCCACATCTGATTTTAAGTATTTTTGTTTTAGTTCATCCATTTGTTTCTCTATGTGCTGCCTAGGCAGTGCCTGTCTTTGCCACTGACTTGTATCTCTGGGCCAGAAACCTTCTAGGTCCAT